GGAATCAAACCTTGGGCATTCACTATAGAAAGTACAAACCTCCTCCCACCTGAGCTAGGAGAGTAATTCCATTAATTAAGTAAGTAGCAGACTGTTATAGTTGCTGAGGCTAACCTCTAGAGCATAGGTTCTCAGACTGTGGTCTGTGGACTACCAGTGGTCCGCAAGCTCCATTCAGGTGGTCCACGGATAGTTCCCTCTAAGGTGCGTGCCTGGATGGCCGCACACGAGAGAATGAAGGGCCACTCACCTAATTAGTGGAACTGCGCAGGCATGGCTCCACTAATTAGGTGCCTGGACCCTGGAGAAGACGCACATGTAAGGTGAAGTGGTGGCCTTGGGGGGAATTGGGGGTAGGTGGGAGGAGGCAGTGGCATGAGAAGAGGGGGCGGGGGAATTTGGGATGTGCAGGGCTGCGGCGGCCAGAGAAAGGCGACTTTCTCCACGGCAGCCGCAGCCCTGGAGCTGGGAAAACGGCCCTCCTTCCCAGCCTCAGCTCTGTGGCTGCTGTGGGGGGGGGGCGAGACCCCCCTCCTTCCCCGCCCCAGCTCGGGGGCTGCCACGACAGGGGAGAGAGGGCACATCCATCACTTTACAATAGTTAGCTAACGGTACAAACAACATTTGGAAAGATCATTAAGTGGTTCACTGAGACCCTCAGCAATTTTCAAGTGGTCCGTGGGAAAAAAAAGTTTGAGAACCACTGCTCTAGAGGGAGACATCACACACAAAGCCAGTGCCTTACATAACCATAGCGATGTTAATCCTTACATAATGTAGTTTTTTTAACATGGCTGGGCACACACAAGTTTCAATAGGGGTTGCCAAACTTTGGACCTGCAGTTGCACTTTTGACACTCCTAGTTGAGTGATAAAATTGTGGATTTTCTCTTCTATGGTTTTGCAAGCACTATGTGTAACCATGGAGCAAGGGATTTGCAGAGCCGCAGCACATGTATAAAATGGAGCCTGATCCTCATAGCTGCAAGTTGTGGGCAGGAATCTGACCCAGAAAGCACCTGGCATGTCCGAGGTTGTGCGGTGTTGAAGGAAATGTTTTGCAAACCCCCGCTGGACTCTTTAGCTCTTGCTTGTGACTATTGCAAACAGCCATTACAAAGGCAGAACTACACTCCAGTGTGTGAAACTGGTTGCAGCAGGTCCATAGGGTGGAATGTTTGCACACGGTTGCTGAACTATGAAAATACTAGGTTATGAATCTATGGGGCTTCTTTGACATCAGAGTGAACACGAACAGGTCCCCCAGAGCTTGTTTTCTTCCCCAGTCATGGCCAAAAGATTTCACCGTAGGAAAGGTCTGCTCTGAGGAGAGGCACATCCAGCTTTGAATATGCAGAAAACCATTTAATTTGGCCTCCAGATTGCATAGACTTTCCCATAGCTGCATCACAACAGAGAGTCTGTGTTATTCTTTGGAGAGCGAATAAGCTGTTCCATCATTTATGATCTCCCTGCAGTATCCTGTTGATAAGATCTGCTAACGTTCTCAAAGGAAAACTCTGGGTTCAGGTCTGAAATACACAAAGAACAGGGCCTATTTGTTCAGTGTGAGCTTCTAAGGTTTACATCCCAAAGGAAATTAAATTAGATGCCTAGAGCTACGACGGTCTGTCCTGTTTATTTGGTGGAATGTCACCTTTAATACCATGCACATCTAATGTGTGTGTGTTAATGCGGTGGTGTAATCTGCAGGCACGGGCATGCTAAGAGGACTAAAAACCTAGGAAGTATTGTGTGTGAGAGGGCAGTTGGTACTGATTTTAATTTATTTTCAGGCTCTTTGTAAGTATCAGAATAAAAAGAGCTCTCTTCTGTATGAAGATCTACTTGCTGATCACAAGGATTGGATCCGCGTGGTCTGTGCATTCCTGCTTTGATGCCTTTATTACATTTTGGTTGGGCTAATTCTGTTGGGAGGAACCTGGTTTCAGCCTGTATCCAGTGTAGTTGTATCTTTAGCCTCTAAATCTTTTCAGCAGTTAGATGTGCCCAAATGCTACGGTAATGGGTACCTATCCCCAGCACCCTCCAGAGTGTATGATGGTGAAGATTTTCCCCAGCTACCTGGTCTAGCAAACCATTTTTTAAAAGATGGCTTACAAGCATTCCTGAGACACAAGGGCACACTATACATTTGGCTGCTCCGGGCTTCCAAAGCTTCTTTCACAGGAAAGGAGGCGCTGTTCACCCAGGACCAGAACTGTGCTGGCTAAGAGGCTTTATGCGCTTGTTTCAACTGGAGTTAGTTGATTGCTGGCTAACTGGAGTTAACGAACACAATTGCAAATGCAAGTCTAGATACCCCACATACGTTTGTTCCAGGATCCAAACCGTGGTGGTTTACCCTAGGGGCTGCACCTTCTGCCCTTTATTCTGTAAATATCCTTCCCTGCTCACCCCCATTGAATTTTTTCATTCCCCACCTTGTTCTTCTCTGGTCTACAATGAGAGTGGTTCATTTGTGCATATGTTTCTCCTTCCTCTCTCTCCTCTGACACCCTAGAAATGTCCTTTGGGCTCCTTCCCTATTAACCCTGGATTTTATTCCTACTGCTACATCTGATTTTTATCATTCTTGCCATCTCCACTGCCCTATAGCCACCCCCCCCCCTTTTTTTTTTCTCGTTTTTGCTCATCTGTGTCACTGCTGAATATGTATTTCCTCCTTGCCCACTCTTCTGATTGCTTTGGGTGCTGGTTTCTTCCTCTTATTTACTGCTGTGTAGTTTGCTACGTCCGCCGTATCCTCTGTCTTCCACTCTCCACCCACTGCCCTGTCACTCACTGCCAGGCTACACCTGAACAGAAGCTGATCTGCTCCATACAGAGCCTTCCCCAGACAACCCTTGCCAGCTGCACCATCTTCTGGGTTAACCATGCAGGTGACTGTTCTGTTTCTGAGCATGGATGGCTTTGGTTGTATTTCTGAGTAAGCAACCCTTTAGGTTCTTCAAACCTTTCATTGACACACAGGTATTTGCAGTTCAACGTGCGCCCGGGGTACCATCTCCGCCAAAGAACTTGCCCACTGTAGTATAAACCGGCCCTGCTATAGTGCTCATAGATGTTTGGGTTTAGTGTGCCAGCCAAAGAAATGATCGTCTAAGGCCCACCATAGACAATAATAGGGAATCATCTGATTGTAGCCAAAAAGCCTCATGGAGCATGTGGGTCTGTGATGTGATACGCTGACAACATTGCCACAGCTTCCGCTGGGCTTCAGGAGTGGCTCCATGCCACACCACAAACTGGGTACTGAATCTAAACTCTAAGTTAGACTGAAAGTTCATCGGGGCAGAGACAGGGTCTTCCTTTTTGTACAGTGCCACTGCCACGTATGATAGTAGCTTGAGTGGCCAGTGCCTTTTCTGTCCATCGAGCCGATTCAGGGGTTCTCAGACTGTGGGCCATGGGTTCCTAGTATATAGATCAGAACTTACGAGGGAATCTGCAGCATCAGCGCTGTTATGCGCTTCCCCCAGCGAGCTCCGTGCTGCAAGGGAGGCTGTCAACAAGCAGCACTGAGATGAGCTCCAGTTTGGAACTGGAGGGGAGCCGAAAAGGGGTGGAACTGGGGGTTGGCCTTGCTCCCTTTCAGCACTGGGAGCTGGGGAGAGTTGCCTGAGCTCTTGGAGAGGGAATGCAGAGCTGAGGGGCCAGAGGGGAGGAAGTGGGGGAACCATGAGTGGATTTGGAGAGGATGAGTGAGGAGGGAGAATGCAATGCAATGCAGGCAGAGCAGAGAAGCAGGAATGCCGGTCACTATAGGATGGAGAGGTGCTGGAGATAGACGACTGTAAAAGGAAAGGGTGGAGTGAAAGGAGGAAAAAGGAACACCAGGAGAAGCACAGAAAGAACAGAGCTGTGAGCTGCAATTTGCAAAATGAATAGCCTGCTGTATACCCAAACCCTGCAACACCACACCCAGCACCCCTCACCGGACCCAGGTGTGGAGGTGATTTCCTTGTCCTTGACTGCTACCCCACCTCAGCAGGGCTTGCGTTTATCTCTGGCCCTCTAAAAGCTGTGTGCGCGGGCACCTTCTGCTACGGCATGTTTCTTTTTAAGAAAAGGGCGAGGGAGGATCCTGGTTCCGCACTTAATACTCGGGACCAGCTGATGTCAATGGGCATATCTGACTTCAGTGGAGTATGTTGACTGGGGATCTGGCCCGCTCTTTTTGGGGGGCGTGTAGTCAGAAGTTATTGTCCAAGGAACTTCACGTTTGCTAGTCCTCTCCTGGAAAAAGCCTGAGCCTTCCCCCTTCTACCACACCCCTAAACTCTCATGCGGACTAGCAAGGCTGGGGGGAGGGAAGGAGGAGCGATTCTGACTGGGAGTGGGGGGAGTTGCACATTTGGGAAGGGCCAAGGACTGGTTTTCTGAGCCGAGTCCAAGAGCCATGCTGCATATCCCACACCCTCCCGCTCCTGGCTTGGGCACCTCTCTGAATGCCTCCCCTGCTGAATCTGTGGTTTTTCTAAATGATACACCATTTAACAAGCCAGGTCTCCAGATCAGAGCCCTCAAGGTGCCCAAAATGCAGACTCTGTGCAGGTTCCAGGCTGTCCCGCCCTGTCCCCCTCCACCAGCTGTAGCCCAATTATACTAGAGACTTAACTCCCCTGTGCCAGATGAAAGTGTCTCTGTTTCCCACTGCCTTCCTTTGCAATTGTTCGCTTGACCCCTTTTTGCCCTCCCCTGCCTCCCTCCCCCCTTCCTCTCTGAAGCTGAGCCTCTAATTTTAAACGTAGGAAGATAATTGATGGTAGCAAAAGATTGCCTTGTAATCTTAGCATTTTTTGCAGTGGTTGGGGTTGTGGGGGGGAGTAAAGCCAGGAGCTAGAGGCCTCAAACCTTTGTGTCGCCAAAGAAAAGTATGTACAGTCTCCCCTCTGTGCAGAAGAAAGGGGTCCGCTGCTTGGCAATTACATAAAGCTTGGAGTGTAAAAGAGTAAACGAGTGTCTCCCCCTTGCAGATCCTGTTGACTGAAGAGTTCGTAGAAAGAATGCTGGAAGACTTAGAAGATCTGACTTCTCCAGAGGAAGTAAGGCTGCGTTGCTCCCATATCTGGCATCTACTGGCCGAGAGAAAAGCTGCACAGTTGGCTTGTTTTGTTAGTTTTGGAGTTTGGCAGCTTCCAGCCCTTCCCACAGCTTCAGGGCTCAGCCCCCCTTTGAGCCTGCTGGCATAAACCAGGCCACCTGGAAGAGAAGGGACTGCAGAGGCAATCGGGGACCTGCAGCTAATCCAACACCGCCCCAAGAGTGGGGGGGTGTTGGCTAGCGAGGAGGCCATGGCCACTGCTGCTCCGGAATGCACTGATTCGGCACGCTTCCCCAGGTAGCCTCCACTGGCGGCGGTCCCGACAGCAATTGGAATGCTGCCGTCCCCCGGCCAAAGCCCCAGCGGAGCGGAGCTGTGCGGCAGCCCTGGCCGCTGCACTGGGCTGCAGCTTGTGCCTCCTGCAGCAGCCTGGCTGAAGGGCCCCTTTGGCCTGCAGAGCTATGCGGAACACCCAGCATATTTGCTGCCACTTCATATTGCACTTCAGAACCTCTTTTGGGTGGGGCAGGAGGGGCTATTTCATACCTGCTGCTTGTCCCTCGTTAGTTCCCTTCCCTCCCAACCTCTGCTAAGTTCGAGTGTGGTGCATAGACACACACAGCCAGCCTGGCAGTGCTGAGCCCAGCAGCAGGGGACGCACCACGGTGGCGGACTTTCCCCATCGTGTGACCCAGTCGCATTTAACACCAGCTCTCCCCTGCACTCCACATAAATATCCTGCCTCACTTCAAAGAGCACTGGCAGCCATGACATGTAATATTTTTATCCCATTTTTTACAGCTCCCTGTGGACTCTAAAGAAACTTTCCTAGGCTTGTAAAGTAGCCCTCCTGTCCCTCTGTCCCTCCCTGCTTCGCCTCCCAGAAAAACCTCAGTGCTCTAATTGTTTAACCCTGAGCTGCCGTAATGCCAGGGTTATATATGCCCTGTGAAGGAGCGCAGCAGGGGATCAAGCACCTCGCTAGCAGCGTAGTGAATTCTCAGGCCAGCTCTTCACCATTTCAACCTAAGCCAAAGATCATTTGTGCTAGCACAGAAGTGACCATTTTGGAGTCCCTTTTCCCAGGGCTGGTGTTCCCTAGCTTTATTGGGAAGCAAATGCTGTACGTAGGGTGATTCTGTAGTGCCAGACAAAGGATGAGACACTGGCTTCCACATTGCTTTGACATTACTCATTTTAAAATGTTTTCTGACGTATTCTTCTCTGATGTGACCATTTTGGAACCTTCCCAGCTTAAAAGAAAAGGGGCCGGGGATACTTTAGATGGTTATGGTCTTTCATCACCCAAAATCCTGCAGGACTTCGTAAGTCACAGGATCCTAGTTTGTAAAGAGTTTTGGGTCAACTTTATACGTTCCCCAGAGACTTCCTTTGGCTGTTGCCGGTATCCAACTAGTTAGAATGAAAATCCAATTTTGGGTTCTAGGAAAAGAACCCCTCCTTCATGGATTAATGAGCCAGGTGAAGGTGAAATGAATACCAACTGCACCACCACACACGTCTGGCTGAGCACCTCAAAAACTCAAGCTGTGTCTTTGTGTCTCTTCATTAATGTTAGAATGGTTGTCTGTTAAGTGCATAAGACCTTAGAGATGGAAGGGGGGCCCATAGGCTAAATCAGATAGTGACTGAAAATAAGGGTGCAGGTTATTCAGAGGTTTATAAAATGGTTGGCAAAGTAGTGTAACTTGCACCAGTTTTTATTCACTAGAGGAGTAAAATTGAGTGTCCGCTTAGGAACTGAGGGGGCAGATGTAGCCCCAAAAATACAATTACTGGAATGGTGGAAGGGTAATTTGGGGTCCTTTACTGCTTATGCCCACTCTCCAACACACTTGTACCAAACATAGGCAAGTCTACGCTTTGGTGGGGGGGGTGAATGGCAGCTCGTGTTTTCATGGACAAGCAATTGCTTGTGCAGCTGATGCTGAAGCCCACTCCACGGCGTCCTTGCGTCTAGTTTTAGCGGGCTAGTTGGAGTACAGCAACTGTGGGTAAGTCTGTGGGAGCCGCCACTCACATGCCTGGCTGCAGTGTAGACATAGCCATAGTTTACATGGGCACATGTGTCACCACTGAATTTGGCCCAAGAACTTTCATGGGAAAGGAACTCATTGCACTAGTTCTGAATTGAACATCTCTGGTTTAGACGATCCTCCCTAGTCAAGGCAGAACCCCGGGTAGATGCTGCTGTTCAAATCCTTCCGTCAGCTGGTGCTAGTCTGTGCGTGCAGCAACCTTTTAAAAACAAAGCAATTCATTTTCCAGAAGTTCCCGTGCTTTGTCTGCACAGGCTGGGGGTGACTGGGACAATCCTATTCCCTGGAACAACTTTCAAGATCAGTTCCTTGCTTGTTTATGAATGGGGCAAATGTGTAGTCCGGACAAGCCCTAAAACACGAGAGACAGCTTTAAATAAATAGGCTGCCATTGTACACATCTAGGCATTTGCAGTGTTAATCAGCCCTGCATCCTCTCCCCCCCCACTTTCTGTTCTTGATATCCTTTTTCCACTCTGACTTTCCTCTGCAAAACCAGCAGTGGGGAGCAAAAACGAAATGGAGTTGGGGTCTTTTTCCTCCTCTGAGACGCTTATCCTGTAACTCCATGATAGCCCCAAACCCCGCTGCCCCCCAGCTTACCCTTAGTGCAGACACCCTTCCATTTGCTTCCTGCTCAAACGAACTGAGGCAGGGACACTGACTCTGAGCGGGCCAGTCATTTTGTTTCTCCTTGCAACAGTTCAGTACTTCCCACAGCAAAACTGTTTTTGACAGAGCTATTCTGGCACGGGCATGTTAAAGTCACGGTCAGCCCAGTACATTCTAAGGACGCCTCAGACAGTTGTCCAAGAGTGCCCAACGCTGGTTCTGGGAGCAGGAGTTTTGGGGTTACTTTCCAACAGGAGGGTCTGTGTGGTGGGGTGGAGCTAGGACTGGATGAACCAGAGCAGCTGTAATATTCGTGGCTTCCCCTCCACATGAAGAAGTAGCCATTGGAAGCAGTGGTGTGTAAAATCAGACTTGAGCTCAAGTTCCTATGCTGGGTATTGCAACCAACACTTTCTTAATAGTCAGGGCAGCTGTGTGTGTGGACATGAGCCAGGGAACAGTCACTGCAAAGTCAAGGGGTTTGTTCCAGAGGGTTTTTTTTGTTTTGTTTTTTGGGTTTTTTTGCCATAAATAAAGTGGCCCAAGGACAGTATTCAGAAACACTGGCTCTCCTCCACCAGGACAGCATGACTAGCTGCTGGCCATGTGAATCATTGTGCCATTTCTGCCTGCTACATACAGAACCATACAGCCTCACGTATATCACATGACACCGAGAATCTTAAAGCCGCTGTCTGATTCTTGCTTTAAAGCAAACAAAGGGGGCTCGTGGGGCCTGGGGACAGTTGGAGGAAACACAGTGAAGTGGAAAGGGAGATACTCTTGCGAATTGCAGACTTTCACTGAGATGCGGGAGGGGAGGGAAAATGGTGGTGGGAACAGTAACCCTGGCAGAATTCACCGAACGAAATGAACAACGCTTGGGCTGGAATCTCGTAACTTTACTTTGGCAGCAGAGACACAAACCGCATTATCTAATGTCCACTGCTGTCCAAAACATACTGATGGGGGAGGGGGAAACGCTTTCTTAGTGGCCCTTTGCTTTAAAATAAAAATAAAAAAACGTAGCTCTTAAATGGAGGGCTGCCTACTTTCAGAATAGCTTTGGGTTAATGCGGGTTAGGCTGCAGGGAAATACATTAACTGACTCCCTTTATTGCCTCGTAGTTTAAACTTCCAAAAGAGTACAGCTGGCCTGAAAAGAAACTGAAAGTCTCCATCTTACCAGATGCTGTGTTTGACAACCCTCTGCATTAGAGCTGAATTACACCCTTCTGACATCTGGGAGAGCCAAGTGACTGTACATTGCTCAGTGACTCACAGGATAATTAATGCAGTAAGAACTATGCCTTCAAATAAAGTAGATTGCTGCACAACCACTGCAAACAGAAGAGGAGTTACACAACACCAACCCAGACAGAACTGGACAGTGCTGGGCCATTTCTTCCCCATCCTTTCCTGGGCTGAACTCTCCGGGAACAGCCTGCGTATGTTTGAGTGCAAGTGAGAAATATTTAACTATGAAAAGTAGTGGTAAGAATTTTTTCCCTGTTCTAGCTGGCTACAAATATCCCTGCAGTCTTCGCCCAGGGTGTAGATACCTTGTACGCCTATATTTACATACGCACTCTGCCAGGTGCAAGCCCATGGATTAAATGTTCTCTACGTGACTTTGGAATCCTTTTGGTTAGCCAAACTTTTACCGACTGCAGAACTATTCCTCCAGGGGCTGTTTTGTCTTTTCAGAAATGGAATGGTGTTAACGAGGCCAGAAGCTCGCCTGCTTCATTTAAAGATGAACTCTCAAGTTTAGTCAAAAAACAAACCCAAACCCTCCCTGCTGCTAGAATTCGGAAAGGTCTGAGCATTGAGCTCGGTCTGATTAGTTCTGGTATCGCTGCAAACAGAGGCAACTTTCTTCTTGCACATCCTGTCCTAGTGTATGAATGTATGCATGAGCCCCGGAGAAGGTTGTGACCTCTGCTTTTGCACAAGCAGGAGGAAGAGAGACTATCGGGGCAGAGGAGGAGATCTCCTGTTTACAGAATGTTTATCTTTCAAGGGATGCTGTCAAGTACTTTTTCCTTGCTATTGTACAGAATCCCTTTGAATCCTAGAAGTGGGAAAGGATCTGTATGTTCAGAGGGGCCACGCTCCAGGAACCAGAGGGCTGCTCTAAATTGTTTAATATGGAGATCGGATCCACCCTCCCCATCAACAGAGAGTAGCCACCAGCAGAGGCCTGGAAGAAAGCCCTACCTGCACTACAAAACAAACCCTGCTGGGGACCCGCTTACAGCACAGTTGTCCTTAGCACCGTTCCATCTTACCAGACTCTGTGTCCGACAACCTGCGTGCACATGGGACCGTAGCCATGTGCTAAGGATTTGAACCTTGCTTTAACGATGGGGGGATAAGCAGGCTGTAACCGGGGCCCCCAAGTTGTATTGTAGTATAAGCTTCAGGCTCTGCTTCCAACATGCAACTCCCTCTTGGTCCCAGCGGCCTCCCTTAGACCAAGATGGAGCACGTGTGCTGAGAGCTTTTGTCTCTGCAGGTTGCATCCTGGTACCGAAGAGCAGGCCATTGGTGGGTGCATTACAGATGGGCTGCAGGCTACCCCATGCTTGAGTCCTTCCCCTGCCAATCCTGGATTGTTCTCTAAAGTAGATTCACCAGTGCTTTCTCAGACAGATTCACACTGGAATACAGTCACTTCTAATTATGTGGGTGCAGATTTCTCCCCCCACCCTTTTCCACTCACAAGCTAACATGGCCGTTTCTTCGTCTCTGGTTGTACACAGTACAGTGGTCTTAACATGGCTGTGGCAACAACTTTTAACAACTGACTGCCTTTGATCAAATCGCAATGGCTAAAACTGGCCCATACCTCACAGAAGCTGGTTGTTGTTGTTGTCTTAATTTCTTCCCAACAAAGTGGGATTTTGTCAAGATTTTTAAAATATATTTTGGAGCTGGTTGCTGTTGGATGTATAGTCCTGTGGTTGAGGCACGTATCTAGGAGCCGAGAGGTCTGACTCTGCTCTGGATTTCCTGTGTGAGTGTAGGCAAATCACTTCACTTCCTCCTCTGCAAATGAGGATAATATTCCTGGGGGGGTTGGGATGCCTAGACCATTAGCATCTGTGAAGTGGACCAAGATTCTCAGAGGGAGGTACAAGTACCATTATTTTTATTATTATTTAAGGAAAGCCAAATCCAGATCCTACGTTGCTTAACGGCTTCCTTTTTACAAAGCTATGAAAGCAATTTTGACGTAAATGAGTCTGTAATTTTGTCTGAACTCAAACGATCATCTTGAAATGATATTTTTAAAGAGCAGAGTTTCCAATCTCAGGGCCGGCCAGAGTGATTTTTGTGTTGTGGCAGTCTGCATTTATCCAGGAGAATCTTTGGCTGGCTTGCAGCGTCCCATTTAGTATGAAATGTGTATGCAGTGCCGGTCTGTTCTGTTCCTTAATGTTGGTGGGAGTTGTAGATGCATTTCCAGGGGCCAGTGGACTAGAGAGAGACTGAAAATTGGCATGCAAATCTACCAACCCAGGCACAAAATAGACTCCCCTCCCCACCTCACTGTGAAGAAATAGTGGCATCATGCCAATCAGAAAAGGAGGAAAGCGGACAATGAAGACTTTGCCCTAAATCCACAGATTTCAAAGAGCGGCCCATGAACCAAACACTTGCCAGTGGTGTTTGGAGAACTGGCTGATTGCCACAGTGCTGGCTCCTCTTCCTTCTTTCCAGCTGCGAAGTCTCATTAAGAGAAGCTGAAAGCACAGGACTTTCCTAGGGTGATTTGTCCATGTCAGCAATTGCTGCTGTTCCCACAGAAGTCACAAAGGGGCAGAGACCAGGAGGCCATCTGAGTTCTGTCTCTCTGCCCTAACTCGAACTGAGACTCTTTGAAACCTTCCCACGAGACACATGAGCGAGTGCCGGACTGTAGGTAAAATACCTTCTCTCTGCAGGATTTTTCTCCAAATCTGCCTCTCCCACGATTGTTCTTCCGTTCTGCATTCACTCCTGTTTGACGCTGTGGGTTGGATGTTCGTTGGTTTCAGAGGGGGATGTGAAGGGACCACACTGAGGCTTGGCCTACGCTACACGGTTAGGTTGATGTAAGCTGCCTTGTCTCGACCTAGCTGTGGAAGTGTCTTCACTCCTGACGATGTAAGTGGCTGTCTACTCCGATTTACTAACATCACCTTCCCAAGCGGGGTAGAGTCACAGTCAATGTCATTAGGTTGACCCAATGTCAGTGTAGACACTGTGTCGCTTATGTCGACTGTTATTGGCTTTCAGGAGCCGTTCCGCAATGCCCCACACGGACAATACAATCTATACAGGCGCTCCTGCGGGGGATGTGTGCTGCCAACACAAATGCACACGCACGAGCGATTTAATAACTCCGGTGGCTGTCTGCCGTAATAAATTCAGTTGACATAATTTTGTAGTGTAGACATGACCTGAGTGCTTTGGAAATCCCAGCTATACCCATGTGTTTTTGTTTATATGTCATGTATTTATATCTAGTCATCAGTATTTGAGTTATGACCAGTTGGCAAGATAGGTACCTTTGATTTGTAAGACACTTTCTCACAAACCCTATTCTTAAAGCCTTGCTGGCTGCCAAATTACATTTTGTTTCAAGGGAAGGAAGTCGAGTCTTCCTAATTAGTTTAGCAAATAAAAAAATAAAAAACAATTAAACAGATCACTGCTACAATAGCAATCTACGGCCTATTGCCAGCCTCTCTGCAAGAGATTCACTGGTGAAAGGAAACCTTTTGACTCTGTCCCACTCCTGTCTCCATTCTTTTAGAACAAGAAAGTTGCACATTAATCAATATTTAGAGAACTTGTCACCCATAACATTTTTCCCTGTGTGCACTTGAAGTTTGCAGTCGTGCCAAAGACTATTCAGTTGGCAGCTAAATGAGATCTTGAGTTTTGATACTTTTCTAATTTTTGTCTTGGGTAGGGGGAGGAGGGGTGACATGGAAAAAAGAGAACTTTTGAATATATATATTTTTAAATGAGTAAATGGCTTGAAAAGGGAAATGCATAAGTGTTAATTCCAAGGTGGTTTTCCAGGCCAGTGTTGCTGCGAATGGCAGTTCCACTCACGCTGCTTTTAGATTTGTTCAGGCTGGCGGAGATTTGAACAGGGATTATACAAAAACCAAAGCCATGCAATTTGTGTTGGCTGGAAGCAGCGATCTGGATGTAAATTGCATTTTAAAATAAGTGTGTAGAGGTTCTCTTCTCCCTACCCTCCAAAAAAGAGAGAAATCTTCCAATGCAGATAGATAGGAATACTTCCTTATGGCAGACCTGTGATGCCTTGAAAGTCTATCATGGGGACAGCCACCTTCAAACAAGGGAAATCCCAAGAGCTGTAAACACACTTCCCCTCACACACTTGGTTTACAAAAAAAAAAAAATTACAGTTACAGTATTAAAGAAACTAGGCTCTCAGCAAACCAGAGAGACCTTAAGTGTTGCAATTGGCGTGACCTGTTGTAATATTTTCTGTGGCCTAGATCTAGAATATCTGCTATGTGTAATGGCTTTGAGGACAGCGGTAGGTTGGTTTGATTGGACCCAGATTTGCCAGGAATGATTTGAGACGGCATGCTAAAGCCCTACATTTTAAATAATCTGTAGCTCTTGAATGGTCACAGGGCACAAGCTTGTCTTTGAGGAAATAAACATTTGTTTACAAAACTGGAGACCAGTAGAAGTACTTAGAGGATGGAATTTAAACAACATAATGAATTGATGCATAGTTTGTTAGACATTGACCTGCAGTGTCTGTGACCCAAGTGTTGCAAATTGCGCTATTGCAAGCAAACCTGGCAGTGAAATTAACTAAAACGAAAGTGAATCTGACTTGGGACCCAATTCTGCAACGGGATCCATGTGAGCAAATCCTTGTTCCAATGCTCAGTCCTACTGACAGGAGTCAGGCACACGGGCCTGCTCGCACGGGGACTGGCCCTCGGGCTGTGTTGATGGTCAACGCAAGGCGTAACCACTTGACGTAAAAAGCAAATGAATTTTTAAAATCTACAATAGTGTCATGTATAATATACAGAGCAAATAGTCATATTTGTTTTCTCTGACATTGTCCACAAATGGCTGTCTTGTGAGCAAATGGAAGATGAAATTATGACGTGGCTGCTTCTTAGTCTGTTTTAATCACTAACAGTTTACAGAAGTTACTGCTGCTTCTCTCTCGATCCCCTTGTGTGACTCTGCAGGCTCTTTAATTGAATGAGCTTCGTTCTCATTACTCATGTACTGTGCATTTACCACATCAAGCTAGTCAGCAGCGCCTCCCAAGGAAAACTCTTTCAGACACTCCATTTAGAAACATGGCTGCTGCTCACGTTTTTCTCCGGTGGTGGGCAGAAGCGATGTCTTCTCTTGCTTTTCTCTGGCCATTTTATTACTACGAAAGGCCTGTATGGAAAAGGGATCTTTGTTGCTTAACAGCTCGTCTTGCACCTGCTGTTTATTCCTGCCTCACTTGTTCACATCCAAAGTCATAACCCCCGTTTTGTTGCCTTGTAACTAGCTGCTAGCAAGGATTGCTCTCCCAGCTGGGGTGGGGACTGTAACGTCAGGGGGCGGGAAATAGATGAATAGACTTTTAAAATGACTACGGACGATTAGATCATCTGTTCCAGGGGTGGCCAACCTGAGCCTGAGAAGGAGCCAGAATTTACCGATGTACATTGCCAAAGAGCCACAGTAATATGTCAGCAGCCTCCCCCATCCACTCCCTGCCCCAGCTCCCAGCGCCTCCCACCCACCAATCAGCACCTCTCCCTCCCTCCCTGCGCCTCCCGTGGCATGCAGGAGAATCTGGGGGGGGAGTGGGAGGAGCGAGGGCACAGCAGGCTCAGGGGAGGGGGCAGGAAGGGGTGGAGAGGGGGCAGGGCCTGTGGCAGAGCCAGGGGTTGAGCAGTGAGCTCCCCCCCGGCACATTGGAAAGTTGGCACCTGTAGCTTCAGCCCCGGAGTCGGTGCCTGTACGAGGAGCTGCATATTAACGTCTGAAGAGTCGCATGTGGCTCCGGAGCCCCAGGTTGGCCACCCCTGCTCTAGTCTGCCTTGATGTATAACCCAGGCCACAGAATTTCACCCAGTCACCCATGCACTGAGCCCAATAGCCTGAATTTGTCTAAAGCATCTTTTAGCCGGATGACATTAGATGGAGAATCCACTAGTTCCCTTGGTAGATTTTTCCAATAGCTAATCACCCTCACTTATATATAAAATGCACCTTATTTCTAGTTTCAGTTAAACGACAGGAGCAGATTAATTGTTAAGCAGCAAAGATCGCCTCCCTGCTTAATAAAAGCAAGGGAAGTGGGGGATGAATGGGGAGCAAATGTTTCAACGGGAATCTATCCGGATTGAACGTTTTTGTTCCGAGTCATCACGTCCTAACATTTTAAGCCCAAGTTAGGTCTCCGATACTATTGCAATTTCCTGCGAGATCTGTAGCAGCTTATCATTTTTGTGACACTTCCACAGCATAATGGTATATGCTTGTTCTTTCCTTTTTTGTAAAGCTTTCGTTCAGTGCAAGTCCAAAATTTCAAACCGAGAATAAGCCTGTGGCGGGCGGTGTGTTTTAAACTGAGCCCGCATACTGACCTGTATCTCTCAGGCAATTAACCTGTCGTGTAATACACGTCACCACTTATTCATTTCTAGTACCAGTCTATTTCTCCTAAAATTGCTCACAGACCATAAAATCATAAAAAGTGGCATATTAGCTTAGAAATGTCATTTCAAGTCTGCCATAAAGGTGCCTATTTCCTTCCCTCCATGAGATAATGGGAGGTGGTAAAAGTGTTAAATAATCTTGTGTGCCTCATTATTCACGGTTGAAATTTTAGGTCCCTGATAACAGTGTTACATAAATATAGAAATCACTGTGTGGTAAATGTTAAAAGGACACTGTCAAATGCTTTTTTATTTTTTAAATGACTTACAAATATTTTTTCTCCTTTTTTTTTTTTCAACACCCTCTTAAAAGCGGGAGTAAAATTTCCTTTGTCGCTTATTGTTTTTTTTTTCAAACACTGATTTTTTTTTTTTTCCTTGTCTGCACTTCTCTGCTAGGGAGGCTGTTAAAGCAAAATGGGTTTTGTTCCCTTCCCCAAGGCCCAACTACAGCATTGTAAGCGCAGCTCTGTAAATACTCTTCTGCTGCAGAGCCGGTGGAGGGAGCAACACGTTGCCTTGATGTAGGTCCTACATAAACAGTTGTGGCTGTTGTTTCTTGACAGTGGAGTGGTTTAGAATCCAGGGGATATTCCACAGTATAATAGTCTCCTGATACCAGTAGGTCCAGATTAGGCCCAAGATGCCTTTGCCAGTTTCCTCTGTAACAACATACAGAATTTCAAGATCCCACCTGCCTTACAGAATGTCAAGCCCATTGGGGACAGAAGAAAGGGGAAGTGAGTTTAAACGACTGTGTCCTTCAAGCAGTGACTGATCACAGAATCTGAGGATTTTGCCCTTTTATTTTTGTCCTTTTGCCTTTCCTTGAAGCAGCAATTTACAGCTCAATGGCACCAGACTGTTTCCCGTGCTCAGGAACCTGCCGTTCCAAATGCAGGATTCTTAACTGGCCCAAATACATTCAAATCCAGCTCCCACCCTCCAATAAAGTCCCCGTGGGCTTGGGTTCAGCTGTAGTCAGAAGCAGAGAAGGAGATGTTTAAAGGAATGATGAGCCATATTCACAACGAAGGGATTGACTTGCTTTTTCAAAACTCTTTTATATCCCTAGGGCCCGGGTTGGGTACCAAGTCCTTTTCCGAACCTATAAATATTTTTGTAAAGGGATAGAGCTTTTGTTTCTGTTGTTGTTGACGACACTAACTGTTGGAAGGCTGGTGAGCTGGATAACCTAGGAGAAAATGAGCATTTATCTGTGGGTTACATAAAACGGACAGAACCCTGACTGCTGTGGTTGTTTTTGCAGCCATCAGCTGAGGTGAACATTTTTGTAGTTCATCTGTTTCTTTTTTGCGTGCGTGTGTGTGTATTTTTCTTATTAGAATTCTAAGGACACTACAGAATCGATCTGCAAGGAGCCTGTGTTCCTGCAGTCAGTCTGTCAGTACTTTGTAGTTGGACTTTTTTTTTTTTTTCAAAAAAACAAAACAAAAACAAATTAAAAATGGAAAGCTAAACTAGCAGAGGTTTTTAAATATTTTATATTAGTTCCTAATGTAAATTCTTACTTTGTTATTGGAGTGCCGGTGCAGTCCACCTGCACATGACTTTTGTAATATTTTTGTGAATCACTAAACATTTTTTCTCACGTGTATTCTAAGTGCATTAAACATATTTGCATAATTGGTTGTGTCCTTTTCTGGGTGTGGTTGCAAAAGAAAGAAAATGGGATGGATTGATTCACGGTGGTTATCAGAGCTACAGTTAGCTCCTTGCTTATCAACCAGTCTCTCCTTAGTCTTAGGGTATGTCTATACTTACCTCCGGGTCTGGCGGTAAGCAATTGATCTTCTGGGATCGATTTATCGCGTCTTGTCTAAACACGATAAATCGATCCCGGAAGTGCTCAACATCGATGCCGGTACTCCTGCTCCGCAAGAGGAGTACGCGGAGTCGACGGGGGAGCCTGCCGCGTGTGGACCCGCAGTAAGTTCGAACTAAGATAGTTCGACTTCAGCTACGTTATCCACGTAGCTGAAGTTGCGTATCTTAGTTCGAAGTGGGGGGTTAGTGTGGACCAGCCCTTAGAATTAGCTAGACTATAGGTCTTATCTGTGGGGGGTAACTCCTGTTCTAAACCGTTAGGGCAGCCCATAAGTTAGAAAGGAGAAGAGAACTTAAGTACTTCAGGGCCAATTTCTGTCCTCAGGTACATCAGCCCCTTGGCTTCAGTGGGAATTTGCAGGTATGTTTGCAGGGAACAAGTAAATCGGGGGGGACGGGAGAGATGGCACAGAGAATATTTATGAAAAACATATTACTGAGCTAATGTCGCAATGATTTCCCAGTAATGCAGAATGATTGTGCAGTCATCTTTTTACACTCTTCAGTAATAAATTCTTTTAAGGTCAGAGAGAGGGAGGGTGGAATATCTGAGCTGGGAGAGGGGAAATGACAGCCTACAAAAGAAGGGAGAAAGATGGATGAGGAGAAGAAATCCACTTTCGGTCTAGATTCTCTCTCTCTCCTTGAAGAGATACTGTTGGGTCACATCATCTCCCCACCCCCCCACTCACCCTTTAATTTGAATGGAAACAAGTATCCTGTTGTCAGCAGAAATGGTTCCATGAGGTTATTTTTGAAGTCTGAGCGTGGAAACCATTCATTTCTACAGGAATAACCTTTGTCCTATAAACAGTGCAGCATCTTGCTACTGGGAGAAAAACCAGCAAGTGAAACTGACCGTGGCAAAATACTGAAATTGACTACCCTGTTTCCACTGCTCATCCTGAATGGTATTAGGATTTTTGGGTTAAATCCGCTTGGGGTTTCAGATGCCCCAGTGGTTAATGTCTGTGAGCTGGGGAACGAGGTAGCGCTGAGCACCGCAAAGCGCTCAGCTTCCATGGAGCTGGGCTAATCTGGGAGGGAGCGAGAGGACGGGGTGCTGACCAGAATCCAGGGCAGGTGGCTCTGAAGACATGCAACTTGTCTTGCTCCGATCAGGTTGGCTGGATTTCAGGCTGAGACGCTGCAGGAGGGGATGTGCCCGGAGGTGTGGCTGGGTTTTGTTTCTGTTGAAGAGCCCTGCCAATAAACTGGGACCCCCCGGGAAGTTACCGGTATTGGGGGGCACCCAGAGGCCCGAAGCAGCATTCAGGGCTCCCTTGTGCTCGGTCCAGTGTGGGTGTAGGCACATGACAAGATGTGCCCTGCCTCAAAGCGTTTTACAGGGTAACAGCATTGATGGGTTGGTAGCGTGGTGGTGACGCTATGATCTACCCTTCCACAGCAGCGAGTGGGGAAGGTGCAAACACTGGAGGAAGGCGGCAGGTCCCAAAGGAAAAGCCTGCCTGTGTCACCAAAAGCCTGCCTTTGGATGGGGGGAGGTGGGGTAGGGGAGGCCATCCATGTGCTGCTTTGGTTACAGCCTTAGATCAAGCCCGAAAAACCCCAAGCCTCTGACTTGGCTTCTTAGGGGGGCGGGGAGGAATTGTCAAGATCCTCTCCACACCCACTTGCGTTCTAGCTTTTGGGAGGGCCTCTGAGCCAGGCAGCGGCAGCAGCTGCTTTCTTCCCTTTCAGCTGCTCGCTGAACTCTGCCTACACAAGTTTTGTTTGAGTGTGGACTTAACCAGATTAGTCAGTAACACTTCCTGGAACCCATGAGCAGCGCTGCTGGGCCCCCACACATTCTTTGGTTTCCTGCTTAGGCTCGTTTTAAACCCAGTAGGAGTTTACATGTCGATTGACTACAACCAAGCTGCTGGGCTCGCCTTCTTCCACAGGGCGGGGTGTCTGTCTCCCAAGACATAGGGAGCCGGAGTCTTTTTGCCCCTTTGGGGTCTATTTTATACAAGCTGATGCCCTTCAAGAGCCACTGTCTGTGGAGCTCTCTTGGGGGGTACGGTTAAAGACTCTGGATGTGCTGCTGTTAGCATCCTAGAGCTGATGAGTAAGTTACTGGTTCGATGGCCCTTTACCCACTGCTGCCTTGTTAGCAAAGCCCAGCCAGGGCCATAGACTAATTAATTACATATAAACTGCTCTGGGCAGCAC